GGGAGAGAGAGAGGTGTAGTTATTTAAATCTGTTTCAGCCTTTTGATCTTAGCTCTATGTTGAAACAAGCAGACTGAAATCTTTTCAAAGTTCGAAAGCTTTCCTCCATATTTGTTGCCTGAAAATATTTACTTGATTGTACCTGAATTTGCAAAGGTCTCCATCCCTGCAGAATTGTGGTTTGGGGCAGATTGAGTATCTTTTGAAATAATTTTGACCAGCTCTGCATAACAGTGCTACAGATAGTTCTTAAAACTCTTATTAAGGGCCCTTCTAGTCCTATGTACATGAATAAGGATTATTGCAAGCTTTCAGTCCAGGGATTCTTCAGTCCTGCAGAGTACTGAGTGAGCCATGTCAATTGAGGGTACAATAGATCAAGACCCAAACAGTGCCCTAGTTTTCCTTTGCCAGTTCATATGCTTGGTACAGTTGCTCAAAGGAGCATTCACCTAACTTTTCAACTTAGGAAATCCTTATAGAATTTGACCTGACTGGCATGAATCATTAAATCAATGTCATTCAAGTACCAGAGGAGTTTTAAAAATGCAGTTGAACTCTTGTACAGGGGGCACCTTGGAACTGCTTAAAATTGCTGGATATTCAACACTGGTCACAGACCTATAAAGAGTTTTGTTGAAACAATTAAACAGATTAAGACTGAGCACGTCTACATGTTCATTAATGCACCTTTGCTACTGTGCATTAAGTTTAGTACCTCTAATATGAGGTACTAGATAAAGGCACAGTGTGATAAAGCTAATCACGCAATGCAGTAATGCTCAGTAGCAAAGGCAAACATTTTTGTGACCCTTAATGTGCAGTACACTAATTCTACTGCTTATTAGTACGGTTTTTGCCATGGTGCACTAATGCTCAGTAGAACAGTCCACTGCACATTAAAGTGTTTCGTGTAGACATGCCTGCTGTCTCCCAAATGACAGGTCTTTACCTGTCATTAAAGATATATAATCTATATATCGCTATCTATATAGCAATATCTATATTGCTATCTATATAGATCTATATAGAGAGATATTAGGGCTGTGTGAAGCTTCGGTCCCTGATTCAATTCGGTGGAGATTTGGCCAGATTTGGAAGGAACCGCCCCCCACAGAAGCATGGGGGGGTTCCCCAGCATGCTTAGCAGCAGACTCGGAAGTGGGCCAGAAGCACTTCTAGTCCACAACTGGTGACTTCTGGGTCTGATGGGGCACCTGGAGTTCCCCTGAATCCAGTTGCTAAGCAGGGGGAGTGCGGGGGGGGGTATTTTTGGTCCACTTCTGAGTTTGCCACCAAGCACATGGAGGCCCCCCTTCCCACACTTCTGTGGGACGCTCCATATGCCCCAGCATCACAGTGTTCACAAGCTGTGCTTGTACCTCAAGGTAAGTAGAAAAAATGTTTAAAACTGTGCCTGTGTCTGAATCACTGATTCTCCGAATCGACATCAGATCTTCAGATTTGGATTTGGCCAAATTGAATCAGGGACAGTGATCCAAATCAACTAATCGAATCACTGTCCCTGATTCGAGTCAAATCTGAATCTGAATCAAATAGGGCTCGCTTAGCACACTCCTACAATCTAGCCCATATCCAAGGGCATGACCAAATGAGCACGCATGTGAGGTTTGTGGCACTGCAGACCCAACTGCGGTGCTACAAACTGCATGTGTTGTGCATGCAGACTTTCATTGTGCTGCTAATTTCCAGTGTAGTGCATTTTTTTTTTACACTGGGGGATCCTGGTGTCAAAAAACCCACACCAGAAAAAAGCAGGGTGGCGCACATGACTGCAGAATGCACCGTGCAAAAGTGGAGTCTGCCCGGCGAGAAGGACACTCCAGCTGCTGGTAGGGTGGCCATCATAGAGGACAGTCCAGTTGTCCTCTGTCCTCTATTGATACGAAACTGGATGCCTTTATGTCCTCTATTTTTCTCTTGAGGACATAAAGGTGTCGGGTTTTGTATCAATAGAGGACAGAGCAGCAGGAAACCAGAATGATGGCCACCCTAGCTGCTGGCCAGGCACTGCACACCTGCATTGCCACTGCTAGAGCCCTGGGTAAGGCTCCCAGTCCACTTCCAGGTCCACTGGAGAGTGCACAGGGCCCCCCCCCCATGCTCCTCCTCCCCCCACAGCTTGGCAACTGGTGCCTTGTGGGTGGGGGGTTGGGGGGCACCTGGGGTCCCCCTGCGGCCGATTGCTGAGCCGGGAGAGTGCGGGGGGAGGCTCCCATGCGGACCCAGAAGTACTTCCGGGTTTGCCGCTGAGCACAGACAATGATCTCAATCAACGAATAGAATCACTGTCCTCGATTTGGGCTATGCATCCCTGCAAGCCAACACTGGCACCCACAGTGGATGACTTGAGACCCTCTGGGTTAAAATCCATGGGGAACATGGCACAGGGGATACTATGGTGGGAGTCCTACTACAGACCCCCTACCCAGGGCAAGACCTTGACCAGGAGTTCACTAGGGATTTGTCTGAGGCCGCACACTCCTGGTGTATGGCTGTCATGGGAGACTTTACCCAGACATCTCGTGGGAGGAACACTCAGCCAAATCCAAGCGGTCACAAAGCTTTCTCTCGTGCGTGGATGACCTCTATCTGATGCAGGAAGTCTACGGGCCGACAAGAGGTAAAGCGCTGCTTAACCTCATACTGGCAACCCGGGACGACCTAATTAGTGACCCTAATGATCGAAGGGAAGCTGGGTGACAGTGACCGTAAGCTGATCACCTTCACCATCTGCTGTAAAGCTGGCAAGTCAGTCAGTAACACAGAAGTCATTGACTTCAGGAAGGCTGACTTTGACAAGCTAAGGAGGCTTGTCAGAGAGGCCCTAAAAGGCCACAACCCAAAGGAGAGGGGAGTTCAGGACAAGTGGTTGCTCCTCAAGGGAGGAATCCTGGATGCGCAAGCAAAGTCCATCCCGTCTCAGAGGAAAGGCAGCAAAAGGGCACAGCAGCCCCCTTGGCTCCCCAGGGAACTGGCAGACCTCCTGCATCTTAAAAGGAAGACCTACAAAGGATGGAGGACTGGAACCACCTCCAAGAAGGAATACTTTGCTCTGGTCTGGATCTGCAGAGAGCAAACCAGGAAAGCCAAGGCTGCGACTGAACTCCAGCTAGCTACAAATATCAAGGACAATAAAAAGTCCTTTTTTAGATATGTGGGGAGCCGGAGGAAAAGCAAGGGCAATGTTGGACCCCTGCTAAACCAAATGGGACAACTGACAACCGATGCCCAGGAAAAAGCGAACTTGCTAAATGGGTACTTTGCGTCAGTTTTCCACCAATCCCATGGGACGCCCCTGCCCACTGTGGGTCAGGGAGGCCCAGGTGAGGGAGATTCCTTGCCCTCCATTGAAGCTGACCTTGTGAAGGATCACCTCGACAGGCTGGATACCTTCATGTCAGCCGGCCCTGATGGGTTACACCCAAGGGTACTCAGGGAGCTGGGGAGCATCATAGCTCAGCCCCTGGCAGGGATCTTTGAGAGCTCCTGGCGCTCTGGTGAAGTGCCCGATGATTGGAAGAAGGCCGATGTGGTGCCTATCTTCAAGAAAGGGAGGAAAGTGGATCCGGGAAACTACAGGCCCATCAGCCTGACCTCTATCCCGGGGAAGGTCTTGGAAAAGATTATCAGAGAGGCCATCCTTAACCCACTAGTTGAAGGCAGTATCCTGAGGGATACCCAACATTGGTCAAGCAAGACCTACCCACAACAAACCCATCTCATTTCCCTTTATGGCCAGGTGACCTATCACCTGGACAAGGGGGAAGAGATTGATGTCATATATCTTGACTTTAAAAAAGCCTTTCATCTGGTATCCCATGATCACCTCTTAGCAAAACTGGCTAACTGCAGCCTCGCCCTCACCATGATCCAGTGGCTGGGGAATTGGCTCCATGGTAGGACCCAGAGGGTGGTGGCTGACAGAAGCTAATCGTGTTGGTGCACGGTCACCAGTGAAGTCCCTCAAGGCTCTGTCCTAGGGCCTTTACTATTTAACACCTTCACCTCCAGTGATGTGGACATTGGTGTCAGAAGCGGACTGTCCAAGTTTTCTGATGACACCAAACTCTGGAGTAAAGCACCCACACCTGAGGACAGGTAGGTGATCCAGGAGGATCTTGACAGGCTCATGAAATGGGTGTACAAGAACCTGAAGGTGTTCAACACCCAAAAATGCAAGGTTCTCCACCTTAGGAGGAAAAACCTGCAGCATCCTTATAGGCCCGGCAGTGCTATGCTGGCTAGCACTACAGATGAAAGGGACTTGGGGGCCATGATTGACCACAAGATGAATATGAGCCTTCAGTGTGATGCTGCAGCTAGTAAAGCGAGCAAAACGCTAGCTTGCATCCATAGATGCTTCTCAAGCAAATCCCGGGACGTCATTCTCCCCTTGTACTCAGCCTTGGTGAGGCCACAGCTGGAGTACTACATCCAGTTTTGGGCTCCACAATTCAAAAAGGATGTGGAGAAGCTTGAGAGAGTCCAGGGGAGAGCCACGAACATGATCAGAGGTCAGGAAAACAGATGTTATGATGAGAGGCTGAGAGCCATAGGACTCTTCAGCCTAGAAAAGTGCAGGCTCAGGGGTGATCTAGCGGCCACCTATAAGTTTATCAGGGGTGCTCATCAGGATGTGGGGGCGCGTTTGCTCAGAGCATCCCAAGGGATGACAAGATCGAACAGTCACAAACTCCTCCATGACCATTTCAGCCTGCACATAGGGAAGAAATTCTTTACTGTCCAAGCCCCCAAGGTTTGAAACAGTCTGCCATCAGAGGTGGTTCAAGCACTCACTTTGAATGCCTTCAAGACACACATTTGGATGTTTAACTTGCTGGGAACCTATGATCCCTGCTGACTTCTTGCCCCTGGGGCAGGAGGCTGGACTTGATGATCCTTCAGGTCCCTTCCAGCCCAAATTTCTATGAAATCTATGAATCTGAATCAAATAGGGCCCACTTCGTACACCCCTAATATATCTATCTATCTAGATATTATATAATCTAGTTTCTGGATGATAGAGACGTAAAGCTGAAAAAAGTGAAAGCATGGAAACAATTAATTGTAGATGGTCTAAACACCGTCTATCTTCCTATTTATATACTGCCTTTGTTAGGAAACTATTGAACAATATTCTACCTTAGGCAAAGGGACCTGCATGTCCTGCATATTCTCAGCATTGTCAACCCTTGCATATATTGTTAAAGGTTTTCTTAAGTCTTGGCCTGTGGACATTCAGGTATCTGAGATGTTCAACTTCTATTAAAATTAAGTTTCTATCCCTTAGAGTTAAAGAAGCAGCTTTAAAAATAGGCGTGATAATGAATCATAAATCAACTATCCCCCTCTTCCCCCCAACTCCCACTTGTCATTTATCCACTCCAGACTTTATGGGATTTATATTCAGAGAAGTGTCCCTGCAGATCAGTGCTCCAGACAATGTTTTAGATGATCATTAACTTGAAATGTTGCAACCTTTGAACCAAACTACAAACTTGGACTTCAAAGTTGTAGCTGGAAATAAAACTATGAATGTTAAAGCTGCTGCTAGTCACACAGTACATTGGCTGGATGGGAAGTTTTTGAAGTATTAATACGCTTCAGAGCACCAAATTATATAAATATAATCTACTTTTCATTGAATTAGCTTCCCCTTTCCTCCCTGGTCAATGCAGGATGAGAATTCTTTATAGCTCCTACTGTATAGTACTTTAAGCCTTCAGTTCAAGCTGCAGAGGCTTGTGCATTCAGCTCTGGAGGTCCCAATTCAATCCTGTCATGATGGAGAAGGTTAGTAGTCATGCAAACCCTGTAGGTTCAGAGCATTCATAAAAGCACCTGAGCATATATCTGCTTGTCCAAACCAAGCAGAACATCCAAAAAAGTGAGGTTCGATACACCTCCCTGTTCTGAAAATGTGATGGTGCCTGTTGAGGAATGCTTTGCCTTTTAGTCGTTTTTATCTACATTTTAAAGGTAATAATACATTTTTGATTAAATTGTGTTGGTGCTGAAATCCTTAAAAATAAGTCCTGACAGAGGACATTCCATTGGAAGCCTTAAACAAATTTAGCTCTTTGGTAAATTTAAGGTGTTAATTTCAGTAAATCCTCATCTTGGATAGTTTAGGTTTCTTAGGCAGGTACCAGTGGATAGGAACATTTTCCAGTCTCCTTAAATTATTACTGTGACATCATATAATTTATCTTGGGATATCCCTTCTAAAGCAATGTTGCCAGAATGGCAATAAATAGATTAATCGTTTGTTTGCACAGCAGACAATTTAT